ATCATAACAAATTTTATGTTCAAATAGCCAAAAATCCCAAAACAAATGTAATGCTTTACAAAGAATTCAGGCGCGATACTTACTAGGCAGGAGACACTGGTAAACTGAGGCGCGATCACCATGCCACCACGCGCTAGGTCAGCCCATACGTATATCAACAAACTCCTTTCCCGAGGCAAAGTTTGTAACCCGATTCAAATTTTTCGAAGAAATTAGGCTCGTAACCCGAAAAGTTCATAAATATTCATTCGTAAGCCGAGGTGTCACTATATATAACTAAAAAATTAAACTCAAGATTACTTTCAACCCCCACCCCTTTTGCTCTACTCCATCGCCACCTACCTTCACCCCCCTCTATGATGTACTCTTCCATAGACACCTACTTTTGCCCCCCTCCTCCCCTCTACTCCTCCATCATCACCTACCTTCACACCCCCTCCCTTCTCCTCCTCCATCGTCACCTTCCTTTCACCCTCCTCTATGATGTACTCTTCCATAGACACCTACGTTCACTGCATATAATGCTCCCCTCTACTCCTCCATCGTCACCTACTTTCACCCCCCCTCCGCTCTACTCCAGGGTCGCAGACAATTTCACGAGCGTGAGAACTACGAGTTCTCTAACCACTCTCACACTCCTACTCTCTCACCAGTGAGGGGGAGGGAAGGAGGGAGGAAATGAAGGAAGAAAGGTGGGGGAGAGAGAATAGGCAGGGGGGAGGAGGGCCTAGATACATTTCTTCCATATAGATAGGTAGACTGAGGGAGAGCTGCTTGCCAAGAGCCCTATCAGACAGGCTTCCTATTCCTCAACCCTCCCTAATATGCCACATCCTGGTCAGGACAACTTGCTCGATTGTTATTCTTGGTGTGACTCGAGAACTGACCTCGAGGCGGGGCATGGGCATGGATTATCTCCCTGGGGCACGCACCTCCCTGCCCCAGCTCTCTCTCTCTCTCTCACATAATCTATCAAGGGTCTAACATGAGGTCATTGTGCCTACCAGAAGTGTATATGTCCAAGGCTGGCCACCTGTCTGGACCATTCAAATGTATAAACACGTAATTAGTCTATTAAAATTATATATAGTGCTACAATTATAAATTAATTTGTTCATGGTCATTCGTTTATCAGTATTTTAATATGAGGTATATATACGCATGTATGTATACGTTGACGTACACATATATGATTATGTGTATGGAATGATTATGATTATGTGTAATCATATATGATTATATCTAATGGAATGTATTAGTAAGTGATGTGGTGGAGGCTGACTCCATACACAGGTTCAAGTGTAGATATGATAGAGCCCAATAGGCTCAGAAACCTGTACACCTGTTGATTGATGGTTGAGAGGTGGAACTAAAGAGCCAGAGCTCAACCCCAGCAAGCACAATTAGGCGAGTATATGAACGAATGCACATGTACACTTTCAAATGAATTAAGATACCTTGAGATACACAATGACTTAGTTTAAATAGTTTAAACACATTATGGTACTGATTTTGACATGCTGATGTCTGGAAGGGAGAGGGGGTGTGGGGGGTTATTGTCTGAGGTGGAGGACCAGAGGAGGGGGTCAGTGGAAGGATGGTGGCTGGAGGGATGCCATTGTTCTAATGGTTATGAAAACAATTATTGATGGCAGGAATTCAGTGGGTGTGTACTTCACCCGCACCATCACCATACTGTGCCCTGCTACAACCCCCCCCCCCCCAACTCCACCCATGCTGTGCGGGGCGTATTACACATTATGGGATAACCGACTGTCTGTCCATTCCTGTCTGCTCGTTATGCTGCCCTTCCTTTTGAAAATTGTCTGCTTTATCGACTTCCTTCAAGACCACACGTTAGCCTCTTATCACGCCCTCTTACCACTCTCAGGGAGCCGGCTCTTCTATACAATAGTTACCACTCAGTCCCCAAGGTGAAAGAGTGTCCGGGCATATGACTTGTTACGTGTACTTATTTGCGATTCGTTTGGGCTGTCACGTGTGGTGATTAGTGTTGGGTAAGGCTAGGCCAGGTCAGGTCAGACTAGGCCAGGTCAGACTAGGCTAGGTACGGCTAGGCCAGGTCAGGTCTGGCTAGGCCAGGTCAGGTCTGGCTAGGTCAGGTCTGGCTTGGCCAGGTCAGGCCAGGCCAGGCTAGGCAGGGTGAGAGAAGTAAAGCGGCAGGTACTTACGTTTCCGAGAAAGTAGCGGCGGTAGTATATTGTTGATTTAGATTCGACGACAACCTGAAGCTAGTAGGTGGCGGCCTCATCGCTCTCGAACTTCTTGTTGTTGTAGGGGATACGAGGCACACCCAATATCCCCCTTACATTGATCACATCGCACACTAATATTTTTACTATTTCGGACACCAGATTTGTCTGTTTCGTATATGTATAATTGTTCAATATTAAAACCACAATAGAATGCTCTTAACAGTTACAATTGTCAACTTAACAGCCATATAGTTGGCAAGAACGCCGCCCGCCAGTGCAAATGTCTCAGACCCTGTTGGAATATAACCAGTCTGTCAATCGGGTCAACCCAAGTGTTGCGTTTCCATGCGTTTCCAAAAGGGTCGCCCTATACTCACAGGATGAGTATAGGGTACACAATAAACTACCACTCACATCATGGGTATGGGTTGCACAAGAAACTATCGCGCAGAGGATGAATATGGAGAGCAAAGTAAACAAAGATTCACACGATGAGAAAGGGTTGCGCAATGTCCTATGACTCACAGGATGAGTATTAGCTGCACAATAAACTACAGGTCACAGGATAAGTATGGGTTGCACAATAAATTACAGGTCACAGGATGGGTATGGGCTGCACAAACTACCGGTAACAGGATGAGTATGGGATGCACAATAAATTACGGGTCACAGGATGAGTATGGGTTGCACAAACTACTGGTAACAAGATGAGTATGGGGTGCACAATAAATTACCGCACAGAGGATGAGTATAGGGTGCACAAACTGGTTGGGTAAATGGAAATGGTTGGGTACATTTCCTTTCACCTAATGCGACTATTCATGTGTCCGGACACCGGCGATTGTGTGGTATTGGCTATTTATTTAACCATAACTTTGCATTCATTTAATAATTATATTAAGATATGTTTTCCTTGAAATGTAGTTACATTATCGTCTACATGTCTTTATTCTGACATAAAGACCTATGGCGTTACTTTGCATATATGCAAAGTAATTATAAAATTGATTGGCTTGTGTGGAGGCCTTCACACTCCCTGAGCGAGCCATCAAGTAACTATAAAAAGGCATATATCTTCACTTTCACTTCAGTTATATTTATGCCAAAGTATTAACATGCAGCTTATATTTATGTCTTTATGATGACATAGAAAACTTCGTTTATTACAATATCTAGATTAAATTAACATTGATCTTCGGAAGGTCATAGTTCCTATATCGGTAAGGAGAGCGTCGGCCATGAAGCCTTGTTTAAAGTATGAATATTTTTCCTCTCTAATAAGGTATAATCTCTGTGATGGATTCACAAAAACTATTTTATATCTGCCTTTCTGATAACATATACAAATATAATCTTTATTTGTGAATATTTGTTAATTAAGCAATATATCAGAGGGCGTGTAGGGTTCGGTGTTCAATGAACGAAAAGGACTGGATCACTGTGTACAGGAGGCTGATATGGCAGCAAACACTCTCCTGGCGACCATATTTCTTGGATAAGTCGCTCCACACAATTGTCGCTTGGACCATCGACTTCCTATGGCGTCACTTCTCACATATTTACGTCTCATTTCGTTATGAAATTAGATTATTTCAGAGTAAAAATAGGTTTGATCATGTTCTACGTGTAGCACCAACATTATAGTAAGTAAATATACTATATTTCTTCATTACTTACGTAATGCTAGGACGATTTGTGTAGTTTTGGGCCGATTTGGGCTGATTTGGGTAATTCTATGGACCGGCTGCCTCACCTCACTGCCTTACTGCTACATAGCCTTCCCGGCATGGTGCCTTCTTTTGATAATTACTTGTTCCACACCCAAATTGTATAACAGGAAGAGGTTTTGGACCCCTACTTCCCTCTCTCTTTTTTAATAATCTACAGTATAGTCATAATTATAGCTTTAAGTATTCAATGAATAAAGTTTGTGACATTTTTACCCTTCTCCTTACCTATCATTTGTGCAGCATATTTTTATTTTATGTCTCACCCAGATTTAATTTCAAAATAAAACCAAACTAAATAAATTAGAAATGGGTATGTATAGCTAAGGTACACCCTTACTACTAGGTGAACAGGGGCATTTGGTGATAGTAAATGATCCCATCAGGCAGGGCTCATCACCTTCTCTCATATTTCATGTTCACCAGTGTTTATTTACTTAATAACTACTGGTATAATATCTTGCTATTATAAAACTAATTCTACTATCATCAATCACATATTTACTTCAAGTTTCAAGCAGAGAATGCATATATAACTAACACGAAGGACTCCTCTCCACTAGATTCACCAGCTATAATATTTTGGTCATGTTCCAATATCATAAATCGATCCCAGTGTTATGTAGTAGAGAAAAAATGACTTATATCCAGTTTACGTAAAGCTACGAGTGGTCGAAACCACACTTAAATCCCGGAATGAACTTACGAAGGTTTTTCCACTTAGGGTAGCTCTTTGAATACGGACGTAGCCGCCACGAAGGCGCTAAGACGGAATTCGTTCTTAGCTAAGAGGAAAAACCTTCGTAAGTACCTTCCTGAATCCGGCCCCTGGATTATAAACATTATTGCCATTACGTTTGGGTGTCATGGGTAGTTGACACTTTCTGTTTCTGGGCAACAAGGTGACGTGAGGCGAGGGTTTATGACATGTGGTCACAGTTGTTTTCAAGCCGTATAGTGTGATGTATTGGAGCGATGGATTACTTATTGCAGCGCTTTGTGATACGATCGATTCCCGTTACATTGAATTCTGTAAGTTGAATAAATATTTGGTTTTTGATTGATGAATAGTTGTGAAACATTAAGTTAATTTAAATATTAAAGATTAGAATTTAATGGAAGATAATTATATTTACTTTAAAATTAAGTACATTGTTATACCCAAAATGTTTGTATTTAAGGTAGTTTTTTTCCACAAATATTGAATGCGCAGATAATAAATCGGTAATGTATTGTAGAGAGTTGACAATTTGACGGAGTTTTGGATATATAATGGGTGTACGTAAAATGTTTTTTCACAATAAAAATAGAAATAAAGTAAATTTAGTTTATAGGTATTTAGCCATACTTCAGATATTAGCCACGGTAGGTCGTCTACCAAGAGTTTAGTGACTAATTTTACTCCTGGGCAAAACAGTGAAGTATAGTAATGGTTTTTAGTGTGGGGGTTTAAGTTAAAGTGGTTTGTCCTAATTAAGATGGGGTAGGTTAGTTGAGGATGAGGAAATCGCATTTCAAATATCTAATTGTATCTGTCTTTGACACGTGTTGAATATGTAGGTTGCTAAATGTCTATGAAGTTTACGTTTTCCAGTCGGTGCCAGGTTGCTAGAAGGCTGTATACAGCTGGGAATAGTTTTAGTGCCAGTGGCTAGGGTTTGTGGGAAGTCAGCCTGTAGTGACTAGTGCAAATTCTGCAGCTTCACTTCAGATTTGTATACAGTAATGATGGCTGCATTAGGTTGTTACTGTAGATGTGGAAGAGTGAATCTGGTATGGGTTGGTTTACTTTCGTAAAAAATTGTCTCCTGTCCTAGTCCATTTTCAATGATTGGTTGGAAACGTTAAAAAAGTGAAACTGTACGTTGTGGGGGGGGGGGCGAAGATCAGACTGAGATAGTCGGTGACAGATATCGGGGGCGAAAGGTTGTAGTTGATAAACGGCGTTATATTGCTAAAGTGTTACTGTATTTGCAGGTTGGTGTCTACGGTCATGTATAAAGGATATTGTTCGTATGAATATGATCGCCAACAGTGTGCGTCAGATGCTGAGCTTCTCAGTGTTGTATAATGGTAACCAGAATATTTCCTAACTTTACCAAGACTTTGGAGGCATGGTTAAAAAGGAGCGTCAATCCTTAATTGTATAATTATCAGAGCAGTGAATGGGTACCTAGTTTAAAATTTGGTGGGTCGAATTCCTGGGGGGGGGGAGTGGAATTAGTATATAGCATGTAGGATATTGGTAAAAGTTGGTGCTATAATTTAAAGAATAAAAATGGCGTACTGTGACAAAGCCGTCCTCGACTGAATTAAATTCAGCGGTCGACCCCACACTCATAAATTGTCATCCTGTTTATTACAAATATAAATCTAGAATATAAATTACATTGTGCTCGTATAGATTTTAGTTCAGTGTTAAGGTTGTTGGCAATTATTTGTATTAGTACAACGGCGACATTTAGAACGTTGTGGTTGGGAAGTCGGTAAAGCACTTGTTCCGGAAATGTTTAGAATGTCAAAAGTTGAATCGTGTACAATGATTTTTCATTCATAAACGGGGCTTTGGCGGGTGCCTGGAATGAGTTTTCCTCCTTTTGGAGGACGGGCTGGTGACCTGGAATAGAGGATTAAACGGTATGTTAGGTGTGTAAAGTAGGTTTGAATAAAAATCTAAAATTTTATCTGCATGAGAGCACACGTTTAATGTTAATCATCGTATATTTATTAATAAACTACAAAGTTGTTAGCAAAAGTTTAGTTTGCTTGCATTAAGACTAGCAAAGAATAAAATCATGAGTATGTAAGGGTATATATAGTATTGTGGGGTGTCCTGTGGATAAGTTTTATTTGACGAATAAATCTTGAATATAAACGTAAAATGTAAACTTCAAATGGCAATGCCTCTCAATAAATTAAGACAGGATAACTAGAAAATTTAAGTGGTTTAAAATGGTAACTTACATTATTTAACTTCCTGTTATGTAAACTGAATTAACAAGGCTGTTTCCATGACAGGTTGTGGAAGGTCCCCGCAACGTAATCAGAATGAGCGGTTAAAAGGAACCTAATCTTAAGTGATACCCAGTAAGTATCATGTTTGTGATCTCAAAATTAGTTTATGGGTACTATATATTTTATACGTAAATGTCGAGCGATATTTGGGTAAAAATTTTGGGAGTAGAAATGGAAATTAAATCCTGTAGGGCAAGGCTAGTTGGAAGTAGCAAAGTTTAGTTTGCAGGAATTGAACTTTGAATAAAAAGTAATGTGGGTATTTGCTTTGAAACTGCATATTAAAGTTTAGGGTTAATTGTTGGAAAAAAAACTTGAATGTTAATTGGTTTGCTTATTTTTTAGTGTAAAGTTAATTGGTTCATTTATTGTGAAAAAAAAAACTAGAAGACAAATTTCAAAATATGAATGCCAATAATGGTATGTTTTTTTCCTTAAAGTAAAAATATTGACTGGTAACAGTTATTTTAATGTAAATGCAGTACTGTATATTTAAGTTTGTCTTCCAGGATATGGATTGAAGTCTAGAAATTCCTCTTGCAATTGGAGTGGGTTACCTGCATATATTACAGAATCAGGCGAGTGGTAAGTGTTTAGTTTTATTAAATAAAATGTAAAGTAATTGATAATGTACAATATAGCACTATGGTTAAAGCTAGTCTGAAATGAATCTTGCATGTAGACATAAATGTAATTAAACAGTGGCATGGCAGTCTTTAGTTGTGGGCTAATGTTTCTGTACTTAAGGGGGCCTCAGATTCCAATTTGCCCTAAAAATGCAACAAATGAAAACTTGTTAGATTTTTATCAAACTTTTTAAGTTCTATATGAAAAGTGTTTAATCTGGTCAGTTTCAGCATCGTAGCATAAATAGGAAGGGAGGAAAAAAAATTAGTGAAAATTATGCAAAAAATAGTCAAAATTGATTATCAATCGTCAACTGAAATCATAGCTATGACTTTGCGATCACAATAGAATATATTAAACAAATATTATAATTAGTTTAATTGAAATTTAAAAAAAAAAAGCATTTTGTTTTTAACTTTTCATTTTTTTGGGAGATTTGCATCAAACTTACACACCTGACTATGTAAGCCTATCTGTAAGGACTCCAATTTTGGAGAAAATTGGTTGATGTCAACCTTGGCCACAGATTTTAGAACCTTGGACTTCATTCATTTCTGTTTTCAATTAACACAAATGTTTACAAAACTGATTCATGTTTTATTCAATTTACATGAGTTACACAGTATATGTAGAGGGCATGTCTCTACATTGGAGTTTTCATTTTTCTCCAAGTTCATTTATTGATTTTATAATAGCAATAAACATGCCATATTTTCAAAAATTTGGGAACTTTGAACATTTGTATTAGGAAAACTAAAGATGTTTTGGAAATTCTATATCTCAAGGTCCTTATTACAGTATATGCTAATGTGTCAGAAAAGTGTCACAGAATAATTATATCTGAAATGTGGACTTGAAAAAAAAACTTTCTATTTATGCTGCAGTACTGACACTTGGGACAATTAAAGCACTTTTCATATACAACTAGTCAAATAATATTGGTTGACATTGAACAACTTTGACAACCTGATGCCCCCTTAAATATTATAATTGAGAACTGATTTGAAATTGTAAGTACTAAGTGAAACCTTAAGTTTTATATATGTTAGTAATAAAGAATTAGTTAATTTGGCTAAATATTTTTCAGGTGCCAATGCAGATTAGAATGGTATGAAATCCAGTGACTGACTGTAGTAAAGGACTTATGAAGTGGTGAGCTGAATTGAAGTTTTTTTTAGCTATGTCAATTAATGTGATGTTCTTTTATCTAGTCCATTTATAGATGTCACCATGTCCTACTGTTACAACCTACAGGGATTGATGCAGTTTGTAATGATCCTACCCCATTTCATAGAAGGGGACCAGGCAGTCCTGCAGATTTTCCTGTCTGGCTTTTTCAGGGCTCTGCTCTAGTACCTGTCTATTGGATGGATGAGATGTGCATAGATTTAGGGACTGTTAACAATGGTTACATTGTTAATTTACACACAGGGCTTGTTTGCCAAATGAGTGGATGCATCCAACAGAGTAGTGCTGGTAATGTGATGTACAGTGCTTTGCATAATGCATCTGTACATTACATGGCTGGCACTAAATGACTGGATGTGTTCGTCATTTGGGGAACAAGCTCTGCACTAAAATGAGGAAGGGATTGGCCTTGCTGAGCAAATCTTAAAAGATTGGCTGTTAGGATTTTTTTGGTTGATTATTAGGCATTGGTGAATAAAACTAGTGTCCATTAATGATCTTATTTTCTTTACAGATGGTTGTTCTTTGTAATCTGTGATGGTCTTTGCCACTGGATTCCTCAGTGATGTTCAGCACCTGGTCTTTGCCATCTAGCACTGGTCTTTGCCATTGGATTCTTCAGTGATGTCATCTAGGACCATTGGTTTAACACAACCTGAAAATAAGTTATCAATATTAGATAATGTACTATTATGTATACATTAGTTTAATAAATGATTATTGAAACAACTTTTTATGCACTAACCTGAAATTACATTGCTTCTGTTCGACAAATGATTACTACTAATGGTGCCAAGTCTCTAACAATGACATCTGAAAAATATTTAAAAGATTAGTGATTGAAAGTAAAAGTAAATTTGCAGATGTTCATGCAAAATACCAAACTGAAATAAAGGGGCAACTACCTATACATTTGTACTACAAACTAAAGTCGACTTTAAAAAAAAAGTTGAACTTCAAAATGTCTAAATTAAACAAAGTACTATCAGCTTATGCATTGTTAATATATTGGCC